CGCAAGGCCTCCTCCCTGGTGGGCAGCCGCGCTGGCCCCGGGGGCGCGCGCAGGTATCCGGGGTGCACCGGCATGGGCAACAGAAAACTCTGCCCATGGGCTTGGGGATGGAGACCTGGGCAGAGGGTATGGGCAGAGGGGAGCACCCTGGGGCAGGGAAGATTAGGGGGAGCGGAACGCGGGATGTCTACTGTACATCCCCTGCGCACTCGCCCCCTCTTTTCCCCCAGGGCAGGGCACGCTGCTCGCCCTACCCTGTCCCTTCTTTCTCTCCAGGACCGTCAGAGTCTACAAGGGTAACAAGAGCTTCGGCTTCACGCTGCGCGGCCACGGGCCTGTCTGGATCGAGTCTGTCTTGCCTGGTGAGGGGTGGCCAGGTTGTCCTGGGTTCCTAAGGCCCAGGATGTGGTGAAGCACACCGTTGTAGCTCTCCCCCGTAATTTTACCCATATAGGCTGCTACTCAGCAAGCCTTACCCCACCTCCCGCACACACCAGTTTCCAGCCTTATTTGCCTGAGTCCTCCCTGAATGTCTCAGATCCAGTAGATACAAAGCATTCACCAGGACCAGCAGTTGGCATAATGGCTATGTCACTGGACTCCCATGTAGTCAACCGCTGTTCGAGTCCCAAACCTGGTGGCTTTAACTCACTCCCGGCACGTGTTCGTGCGTGGCCAAGATCCGGAGAGGAGAATGGAGGAGAAGGGATTGCGATGTGGCCATTCCCCCTGGGAGCGATTCCTCTTCTTCTGTCTCTCTCTTTCTGTCTCTCTGGTGAGTGCACACACCTTATAACAAAAACCTCTAACCTTAAAAAAAAAAAAAACCCAAAAAAAAAAAAAAAAAAAAGAAGCATCCACCTACCTAAGATGTTTGAGGCCAGAGCTTTCTGCTGAGTCGGGTCAGGACGCCGAACCTCAAGTTCAACATCACCCCAAGCCAAGTGAGCCAAGTTCTTCATCTATGTCCACAGAGAGGGCTAGGGGCACTGTCCAGGACACTGGAACAGCTGGGACAGACCTGGTACCTGCTCAAGTTGTGCACCGAACAGTATTCCCTGTACAGAGTGTCCACTGTGAATTGAGTAGTTGCTAGAAAGGCTAGACGCAGAGAGGTAGCAGGGCCTCAGGGCCTTCTATCCAACCCCCGCTGTCCTCACAAATCTGGAATCCTCGTTTCTTCCCACCCAGTCTGCCCCTTCTTAATCATGGCATCTTAAAGGAGGCAGAGGCTTCCCATTCAGGAATCCTTCTTGTCCCTCCAGTGGGAGTGGGGGATGTGTTCATCTTTATTGAGGCAGAAATGTATCCTGGTCCTGTAACCACCCCCCAGAGCCAGGTCACCTGTTCTGTCGTGCATCCAGCCCCTCTCAGTTCCTGAGCATGATGCCTGGTGATACGACTTCCTCAGTGCCTCTGCTGAAACTGTGGCCTTCATTCACCTCCGCACCTCATGTCTCCAGTGTGTGCATTTGTGAGATGGGCGTCTTCCGAGTGCCTTTGCATCATTGTTCCAGCCTTTGCTTCATTCTGAGACCTGATCCTGATAACTGGCATTCTGTCAGATTTGGGCATCACTAGGTTGTTAACACAGCAGAATAGGGAAAAGGCACAAGAGGCACAAGCTACAGATCCCTAGAGAGCTCCCTCGAGAGCTTCCTCTAGAAATGATTCATCTCTCTTGTTTGACTGTGGCTCTCCCAACCATGCCACCACCACCACCTCTGTCTCACCCTGCTTCTCCCACATGTATGACCAGGATACTTAGTCTAGGGCCTTGTTAAATCCCAAGTGTATGGTTCTCCCCATCCCAGCCTTTAGGCCAGTAACCCTATGCCTTTCCTGTCATCAGAAGCTAAGTGGATGCTGAAATGGGAGTTTTTAAAACTGGTGAGCCTGGGGAACCAGCAGTTAGCGTAATGGCTGTGTCACTGGACTCCCATGTAGTCGACCATGGTTCGCATCCCGGACCCGGTGGCTTAAAAACTCACACCGGGCGCATGTGCATGCATGCCCAGGATCCCGAGAGGAGAATGGAGGAGAAGGGATTGCGGCATGACCATCCCTCCTGGGGGGTGATTTCTCGCTTTCTGTCTCTATGTCTCTCTCTCTGTCTGTCTGGTGAGCGCACGCGCCCTATAGCGAAAACCTCTCCAAAAAACAAACAAACAAACAAAAAACTGGTGAGCCTGAGGGCTACAGAGGCTCTGGCAAATTAAGGACTAGAACCTTGACTGGTCCCCTACCCTAGTGATCTTTGATCCCCTGGGACAATCCTGCTGGGCCTCTGACCCCTTCCAAATAGGCTAGATTGGATTAGTCACCGCCATCACCCTTTCCCCATTTTCAATCCAGAGAAAGGACACACACATCCCAGCTCTCCCAGGAAGTCTTCCCTGATTATTCCTTTCCTTTCTAATCTCCACAGCCTCAAGAGAGAACTTCTTACAGTCCAACATTTATCCTTTTCTTCTTGCTTGTTTCCAAATAAAATTTAGTGATGACTAATAAAAGAGGCAGAGAGTGTTTTAAAAAAAAATGACTATGTTTATAAGAGCCAGCTTAGCAGCTCTCTCTTCCAGGTGTTAGGCCTTCAGGATCATCAAAGCGAAGAGTGAGAATCAGTTACTCCCATGTGTTTTGTTTCGCTTTATTTTTTAATTGCCACAGGGCCTGTGAATTTGCCAGACAGTTTGCCAGGTGGGAGAGAAAGCATCCCTCCAGTAGGGCATGGTCAACATTGTAATCCCTTTTCCTCCCTTTCTCCATCCCATCAGAATTTGAGGCATGCACACACACATACATGCCACCGAGGCCAGAATTTGAGTCAAGGTCAGGCGTGTGTGATCTGGCTCCCGTACAGGGCTAAACTGCTGTGCTACAGGCCAGCTCATGCGTTTGAAATTTAGGTTTTACTAGTATTGTGTTATGGTGAGGCCAGCAGATTAGGCCATTGACAACATAGTTTGTTACTCACAGATCCCAAAGGGAGGAGCATGCCATACCACAGGGGCCACACAGGGATGGTCAGGAGACAGGGAGTGAGAGGAAACATGGGCGAGAGCTTTTATCATGGCTGTATGGGAAGAGATTAGCAAGGTACGTAAGCAGGCTGAGCAGGTTTGGGACTGGCTAGTTTCAATAACCTCAGCAGGCTCTAGGGTATAGGGGTTTGTCCCTAACTGCCTAGTACCCAGTCCTGAGTGATTAGGGCAGAGGGATAGTGGCTCAGAGTGTGAGAGCCACGTAGAGGAGGTATTGGAGGTGTGGGCACTGGATGCGTTAGCCTGGCTGTGAAAGGCATGCTCTCGGGGGCTTGTCCTTTACGAACCCAAAGAACTGGCTAGCCCTAGGAGGAGCGGTGTTTCCAAGGTCAACAATTCCCCAAGATGTCAAAACATTAAGAAATACAAAAAATGAAAAACATGGTTAATACACCATGTTTCAGAGCCAGTCAGTGGCACAGTGGTTAAGGCCACTGGATCCTACAGGGCCAACTGTGTGATTTGAATCCTGGACCTGCTGGCTTGAAAAACATGCCGGGCAAGTGTGGTGTGTGCCCCACAATCTCGAGAGGAAAATGGAGAAGAAGGGATTATGTCATGGCCATTCCCCCAAGAGATGCTTTCCCACTTTCTCTCTCTGTCTCCCTGGCAAGCACACTCACCTTATGCAAACTCAAAGTAAAACACTGTTTCTGAGCTGGAGGAGACTCCCATCCTCTTATCAGACCATTTTCTCCCTCATGTAGAATTTTTTGTTTAAGCTTTTGTTGTAGGGCATGTGCACTCACCAGAGAGAAACAGAGAGAGAATGAAAGCACCTCCCAGGGGGATGGCCAACCACAGTCCCTTCTCCATTCTCCTCTTGGGATTTTGGGCATTTATGCATGCACGTATGCCCAACATGTTTATCAAGTCACTGGGTCCAGGATTCGAACCATGTAGTTGGCTTTGTGGGATCCAGCCACCTTGACCGCTATATCACTGGCTGGTCCCTGAGGCAGACCTTTAAATGAGGGGCCAAAAACAGTGTATGGAGGAAGTACCTCAGGGTGTACAGATGGGGCAGAAGCTCTGCTCTCACGACCTCGCCTTGTTTCTGACCTCTAACAGCTCAGTGTACCCCATGCTGTACCACCCCTCAGGGAATCACTCTGTCCCTAGAGCAGTTGAGATGAGAAAAACACAAGTCTAGAGTGGGGACCTGCTGGCCTGGGGTTGACTCTCCTCTGCCTGTCAACCTTGTGCAGTCTCCAAGTCTCCCTTTCTCACCGTAGCACAGAAGAATGGCATCTGCCTTGCAGCACTGACCAGCACACCCTCTTTTCTCACTTCCAGGGAGTCCGGCTGACAATGCTGCCCTCAAGTCTGGTGACCGGATCCTCTTCCTCAATGGACTGGACATGAGGTCAGAGCTCTATGGTACCCCAAGCTTGGTGATGAGCCATCCCCCGAGACACCTGTCCCTTGAGATACCCAGGTCGTAGTGCTGATCCCCTCTGACCCACTGATCTGTCCCTTTTCTTGGGGAACTCTTTTCTTTATAATGTAGGTTTTTTTTTAATTATTATTTTTTAATTTGCCAGAGGACACACGTACTTGCCGAGGACTGGGGAGAGAGAGGAGGAAAGGGAAAGTGAGAAAGCATCTCCCATGGGGCATGGTCATACTATAATCCCTTCTCTTCCATCGCTCCTTACCTTTGGGACTTCAGGCACATGCACTCATGCACTCAGCATGTTCTTCACGCTGTGGGGTCCAGGACCAGAGCCATGCTATTGGCCATGTGGCATCCAGCTGCCTTAACCACCAGGTCACAGACTAGTCCTTTTTTCTTTTTCTTTTTTATAAATTTGCCAGAGTGCATATGTGTTTATCAGAGAGAAACAAAAAAAAAAGAGAGAGAAAGCACCCCACAATGGGGTGTTGGGATTTGGGGACATGCACATACATGCACCTGACGTTTTTCAAGCCTCCAGGGCCAGGATTTGAATTGTAGTTAGCCACATGGGATCCAGCCCCCTTAACCACTAGATGATAGGGCCAGCCCCCCCCCTTCTTTTTAAATGATAGCACATGCATGAGAAAAAGAGGGGGAGAGAAAGAAGCACCTTCAGCAGGGTAGTCACACCATGATTCCCTTTTCCCTACTCTCTAACTCCTCAGGATCTTGGGTGCCCACATGTATATCCAGCATGTTCTCAGGCTAGCCTGGGAATCCAAACCTGCAGTCAGCCATATGGCTGCCAGCAGTGCAGTCCAGTGCACTACAGACTGCCACCAGGCTAGGCCTCCTATGGCAACGCTGATCCTATATCCCAACTTGAGCTAGAACCTCAGTTTATTCTTCCAACGAGAAAATACTCTTGCTTGATGCTAGGGATACAAAATCAAAGGGACCGTCTGTGTTTTTCCTTGGGTGGGAGGTTGGCCTGGGATGATGTGGATACCTTCTATACCCAGGAAGGGCAAGCCCAGGGCAGCATACTGAGCTGGCCTGGAGCCTGGGGCTTCTGCACAAGAGATTAAGGAGCAGGAGAAGCAGAATTCTGACTAGTACTGGCCCAGCTGTGGCAAGACAGGGAGGTCTCGCTAGTGGTCATGGACAGGTCTCATCCCTGTTGGGCCCTCCTGGGCCATCTCTGCTTGGCAGAAACTGCTCCCATGACAAGGTGGTGTCCATGCTGCAGGGCAGTGGTGCAATGCCCACACTGGTGGTAGAGGAAGGTCTCGTCCCGTTCGCCAGCGGTGAGTTCCCTACTGGTACTTGGCTTCTTTGGCCCACTGACACTCTGCGGCCACTGTGTGTGGATTTGAAGAATCAGTAGGAGACTGCTCTTCCCCCAAACCTGCAGCTTCCCTTTCCAGCACTGTCCCCAAGGGATGCTGTTAGAACCCCAGTGGGCTGCCTCGGGGACTCTGTTCAGGGCTCTTCCTCCATCCCTGTCCCTAGCTTTAGGCAGCAGGTGTCTCCCATTGCACAGTACTGCACAGCCACCCTCAGCTCAGATCTACTGGCCCCAGCTGCCAGGGAAGCTGCACCTGACCTGCAGACTCTGGGTGATCTGTGCCTCTCCTACCTGTGGTCTCAGCAGACTCCGATTCTTTGGATTCCCCCAACCCATCATCAGCGCTCACCTCCCTACAGTGGGTAGCAGAGATCCTGCCGTCCAGTATCCGGGTCCAGGGGAGGACCTTCAGCCAGCAACTGGAGCACCTGCTCACACCTCCTGAACGCTATGGGGTCTGCCGGGCTCTTGAGAGCTTCTTCCAGCACAGGTGGCTGGGTCAGGGTGGTGGTGAGGCCCTGTCCTAGGTGGGCTCCCTATTCTGCCCAGACTCACCATCCTGGTCTCCCTGAGTCTCTTAAGCCCTCTCCTGGGGTGGCTTTTAGCAGGCAGTAACTGGTAGAAGGGCCTCCCAGGTGAGGGGCATCTGGGCTGCCCTAGAACAAACCTTGACTCTGAAACCCCCTAGCTATGTGACCTTGGATGAGTCACAGCCTTCTCTGAAGTGAGGCTCACAGGGGCCACCTGTGGTGTTGCTGATGGGACCCTCAAGAGAGCCTGACCTATGGGGTTGGGGTTGGCGTCTGTCCTGTACTTCAGCTGCAGCAGACTGTGTTATCACTCTTTGGTTCGTGGGTCATTCTCATGGTCTCTGCAAAACCCCTCACTTGTCCATTCCATTTTGATCTACTAAACAATTTTTTTCCTGGTGTGTAGGTGTGTGTGTATGTGCATAGTTCTTTTTAAACAGGGTCTTACCATGTCACTATCCTCCTGCCTCAGTCTCCTGAGTAGCTGAGACCAGGTGCACACACCACCATGCCCAGTGTTTAGGTTAAGCCAGGAATCAAACCAGTGTCTCCCATGTGGCTTCAGCCTGCTAAGCAGCCATGTCTAGCACGTGCTACCATGGCTGCGCCTTAGTAGTTTTATTTTTATTTATTTTTTTTTTCAGAGAGGTTTTTGCTATAGGAGTGTGTGCTCGCCAGAAAGACAGAGAGAGACAGACAGAAAGTGACAAATCCCCCCCCCCCAGGAGAGGTGGCCATGCCACAATCCCTTCTCCTCCGTTCTCCTCTCGGGATCTTGGGCACGCACGCACATGTGCCCAGCATGAATTTAAACCACCAGGTCCAGGATTCGAATTGCAGTTGACTACATGGGAGTCCAGCGACAAAGCCATTACTGCTGGTCCCATCTTAATAGTTTTATTAAAACAAACTTTGGGGCCAGCAGGTAGTGTGATGGTTAAGGGCGCTGGACTCCCACATGGCCAACCACAGTCTGAGTCCCATACCCAGTGACTTGCTTTCTCAATTTCTCTCTGTATTAGTATATACCTCTCTGGTCAAATTAAAATAAATAAATAAAGTTAAATAAAATAATTCTTTTAAAAAAGATTTTTAAAAAACCAAACAAAATGGAAATACCATACAATTCAACTATTTAATAAAACCACAATTCAGTGGGTTTTTTCAGCATATCATGAATATGTACAACCATCAGCACAGTCAACTGTAGGACTTTATCATATCAGAAAGAAACCTAAGCCATTCCATCATCACTCCTTTGACCCCACCCTGACCTTGAACACCCATTAACCTACTTTGTCTCTACAGACAGGTCTTTTCTGAGCTTTCATATGACTAGAATCAAATACTATGCAGACTTTTATGTCTGGATTCTTTCATTTAGCATTATACTTTTGAGTTTGCCCAAGTTATAGGATATATTTCATTTCTTTTTTTATGGCCAAATAATATTCCATTGTCTGAGTATATCACATTTTGTTCTCCCATTTGTCTGGTGATGAATATTTGTGTGTGTTTTTTTTTTTAAGAATTATTTATTTAATTTTATTTATTCATTTGGTCATTGTCAGTTTACCAAAGAAAGACAGACACACAGAGAGAAGGAAAGTGAGAAAGCAAGCCACCAGGTCCGGGACTCAAACCGTGGTTGACCATGTGGGAGTATCCAGTGCCTTAATCACCATGCCACCTGCTGGCCCCATTTGGGTTATTTTTATTTTTCATCTCCTTTTAGTTCCATTCTCTCTCTTCTGCCAAGGTCACCAGTCTGGTACTTTAGTGAGCGTTCTTTGGTTTGAAGATGTTCTTGCAAAGTGGAATTGTTGTTTAGCATGCTCTACTTTCCTTTCACATCATCCTTGTGCTATTTGTTGCATTCTGTGTCTGACTTTTTCACCAAGTACCATGTGTGTTTCGCCCTGTCCACATTGTCCTGTGTAGATTTAATACATCGGCTATAACTGCAGCCAGATTCCTGTGGATCACAGCAATATCCAGCTTTTTATTTTTGCTAGTCTTTTAGTCTTAAAATGGCATCTTGTTTTATTATTATTATTATTATTTTAAATTTTGTCATGGCCTGTTTTCCAAGCCACTGGGGCTGAACCATGCAATTACCCACTTAGGATACAGATGCCCAACATCTTTTTTTTTTTTTTTTTTTAATTGTCATAGGCCAGCAGGTGGCATGTTGGTTAAGGCACTGAATCCCTGATTGCACAGTTCAAGTTCCAAACCTGGTGGCTTGAAAAACATTTCAAGAACATGTGAAAATCTAGAGAGAAGAATGGAGGAGAAGGAATTGTGATGTGGCCAGCCCCCTGCCAGGGGGTGACTTGTCATTTTCCCTCTCTCTGTCTCTGGCAAGCACATGTGCTCTATGGCAAAAATCTAAACAAATAATAAATTATTATTATTATTTTACTCGAGGGCTTATGCACTCACCAGAGAAAGACAGAAAAACAAAGAGAAAGTAGAGAGAGAAAGAGAAGGAACGGGACCAGCCGTTGGCGTAATGATTATGTCGCTGGACTCCTGTGTTGTCAACTGTGGTTTGAGTCCCAGACCCAGTGTCTTAAACTCACTCCAGGTGCACGTGCCTGCATGCCCAAGATCCCGAGAGGAGAATGGAAGAGAAGGGAAGCATGACCATCCCCTAGGGGGTGATTTCTCGCTTTCTGTCTCTCTGTCTTTCTGGCAAGCGCATGCACCCTATGGCAAAAACCTCTAAAAAAAAAAAAGAGAGAGAGAGAGAAGGAGAAAGCACCCCACCCCCTGCAATGGAGCAGTGTCACACTACAATCCCTTCTTTATTTCTCCATCCTCTTTGGGTTTTGAGCACACATGCACACACACACCCAGCATGTGTGTGTCTCAAGTCACAGGGTAGGGATTTGAACTACATGATTGGCCATGTGGGATTCTGCTCTCTTAACCACTAGGCTACAGGGCTAGCCTAATATCTTATTATTTTAATTTGTTTTTCTTTCTTTTTTAAGCTAATTATTTTAAGCATCTTTTCATATACTTATTAGCTATTTCTGTGTTCTCTATGAATTACCTGTTCTTACCCTTTGTCCATCTTTGTTTTATTGAGCCTTTTGTTCTTGTTGATTTGCATGAGTTTCTTATATATTTTAGATATTGGTTCTTCATTACTTTTTACATTGTAAATATCTTCTCCCATTTGTTACTTCTGTTATATGTAATAATGTATTTAAGTTGATTTTTATAATCAAACTTGGTTTTAGCTTTGGAAATTTAAAAACGGCTTCCCTTGCTTCTAGGCCAAAAGATATTCTATTAATTTTAACTTCTGACCTAGAAGAAAGGAAGGATTTTAAAAACTGGACCTTTATGTAATGCCACACAAAAGGTCTTTCATCTACCAAGAGTTCACCTTTATGTGTTATGTAAGAAACCAGATTTTTCTTTTTCATATAATGCAGAAACCAGCAAACTGTTTCTATGAAGAGCCAAACAAATATTTTAGGCTTTGTGGCCCATGCAGGTCTCCATCACCACTATTCTACCCTGTTGTTGTAGCTTGAGAACAAACATAAGCAATATATAAACAGACAGGTTGGCTGTAGTCCATAAAATTTTATTTACAAAACAGGCAGATTTTAGCCCATGGGCCATCATTTGCTCACCCTGATACAGTGAGACAGTTTTTGTTTTGTTTTGTTTTGTTTTGTTTGCTATAGGGCGTCTGAGCTCACCAGAAAGACAGAGAGAGACAGAAAGCGAGAAATCACCCTCCAGGGGGGATGGCCACGCCACAATCCCTTTTCCTCCATTCTCCTCTTGGGATCTTGAGCACATATGCACACACACACCCAGCATGTGCCCAGTGTTAGTTTAAGTCACCAGGTCCAGGACTCGAACCACGGTCAACTACATGGGAGTCCAGCGACACAGCCATTACACTAACTGCTGGTCCCCAGTGAGTCAGTTTTCCCAAACATTTTGTATGTTTTCATCTTTAAAAACTCAATTAATTTACTTATTCCATGAGAGAAAGATAGAGGCAGAGAGAGAGGTAGAGAGATGAGAACCCCCAGCAGGGCCTTCATGTAATATACTCCAGACCCAGCCTGTTTAGATCACAGGCAGGAGCCTTGAACCTGAGACCCACCCGTGTGGGTTTATCATTGCAGAGAGCTGCATTACTGCCATACCATGGTTTGGCCCTGTATATTTTAATCTTCATAACAGCTCTATGTAGTAGATGCTAATTGTTTATCACATATTACAGATGAGGAAACTGAGGCACAGAGAAGTCTTTGGGTATTGTTTTGTTTTGTTTTATTTTGTTTTGGCTCTAGGGTGTGTGTTCTGGCCTGAGAGAGACAGAGAGAGAGTGAGGGAGGGAGGAAGGGAGGGAAAATGAGAAAGCACCCCACCCTTCACCCAGCTTACCCAGGGGTGATAGCCATGTTGCAGTCCTGTCTCCTTCATTCTCCTTTTGGGATTTTGGGCATGCACGCACACACACCCTGTGTATTTTTCAAGCTGCCAAATCTGGGACTCAGATTGCTTAGTCAGCCTCATGGGATCCAGCTGTCTTAACCACCATGCCACTGGCTGGCCCCAGAGGTTACATAACTTGAGAAAGGTCACTTGGCTGGTAAGTGGAAGAGCTGGGGTTTGAATCTAGGCAGCCTGTCCTTAGAGCCTGCCTTCCTGCCCACTTCTTTGTCTTGTGAGGGTGGGGAGAGAGCATGAAGCTGAATCCTGTGGCCTGGAAGTGTCCCCTTGTTCACCCCACTCCTCTTCCTATGGTGAGCCCTGAGTAATGAAACTCTTGTTCCTGCCTCCTTTCCCAGGAACATTGATACCCTCATTGTTGATGTCTACCCTGTGCTGGACACACCTGCCAAGCAGGTCCTCTGGCAATTCATCTACCAGCTGCTGACCTATGAGGAGCAGGAGCTCTGCCAGGAGAAGATCACCTGCTTCCTGGGCTACACAGCCATGACAGGTAAGTGCCCCCTCCTGTGCTTCTCCCCTGCCTGCAGCCAGGTACCTTTGAGGTCTTAGAGATGATGTGGGTCCTCTTACACCCAACAGAGTGCCCACACACCATGCAGATACGTACACACCCAACACACCAGGGCTTGGCCCAGGCCTGGCCCCATGGTCTTGCCTTCCCAACTCGACTTTTACCCTGTAAAACCTGAGGCTTTTTTTTTTTTTTTTTTTTTTTTTTTTTTTTGTGTTTTTTTTTTTTTTTTTTTTTTTTTTTTAATTTGCTAGAGGATGGGACAGAGAGAGAGCTGGAAAGTGAGAAAGCATCCCCCAGAGGGAATGGTCACACCACAATTCGTTTTCCTGCATTTCTCCTTTTTAGATTTTGGGTATGCATGCACACACACCTGGAGTGTTTTTTAAGCCACCAGGTCTAGGGTTCAGGCTGTACAGTCAGACATATGGGATTCAGCCTCCCCGTGGGCTGGCCCAAAACTTCTTTTTTCAAAGTTTCTTTATCTCTTTAATGAAGAAGAAAGAAGGAATGAGAGGGAGAAACAGGGACAGGGAGAGAAAGACAAGCACCCTCAAATAGGTTATCAAGATGTGATCCTTCCCTCAGCCTTCCCAGCCAGCTAGGATCATGGGAACTACTCACTGCAGCTGAGCCCTAACCTGAGATGTTAGGTGCACCCGTAACTACTTGGGTCTTGGGGTTCTCACTCACAAAATAGTGGTGAGTTCAGTGGTTGTGCTTTGCAACCTAGGCAATGTGGTACAGATCAATAAATTTGTGTGGTCTCTGTTGAGAGACACAGCTGTGCATGCAACCTGGATTATGAGCATAGAGCCAGTCACAACTGGCTGGTAGGCTCCTAGTGTGGATGCACACACACCTACACACACATACACTCACACACATGGGCCTGTGGGACCACATGCAGCCTCAGCTCCCTGCTCTGCTCACCTGCCAATGGATGCCCCCTTTGTGCCCACGAAACTATGCATGTCAGTATTTAGGCCTTGTGAACAGAAAGTGTGAATTTACTTTGTCTAGGCACTCCATACCTTTGTGACAGTCTCTGCAGATAAGTTACAAGCTGGCTCTTGCATGCTCACTATCCCTGGTCCCAGAGACCTATAATTTTTTGGGGAGGGCTGACAGTCCCATACATCTCCCCAGATCTAGAACCTTCTATTTTACCCCACAAGGCCTTGTGGGCATCAGGGACAAGACCTGGTCCAAGCACAGGGCTTGAGATCGTCGAAGCATGGGTTCCAAGGTTCTTGTCATAAGCAGAACCTTGTTGGGGTGTTCTATGGCCACTCCCACCTGGGCTTCTGTCTTCAGCTGGCTGCACCTAGGTGCTCCTCCTATTCATGGCTCCAGGGCTTCCCCTGACAGTTTTCCTAGAAGTGAGCAGAGCAGGCCCCATGGCCTGGGGTCCAGGTGTTAGTGCACACGGCTTTGGCCCTTACTCTCGTTTTTGGAGGCCCCTTGTCTGGCTAAGAAGACAAGGGGCCTTATCTTCCTGCATATCCCACAACAGAGCCAGAGCCTGAACTGGACCTGGAGCCGGAGCCGGAGCTGGAGCCGGAGCCAGTGCCTGAGCCCCAGCTGCGGAGCTCCCTGAGGGCCTCTTCTATGTGCCGCCGCAGCCTCCGGTCCCAGGGCCTGGAGGCCAGCCTTAGCTGCAGTAAGGCCCCAGATGGAAGGCTGGAGAGGTGGGAAGCTATAATTGGGGCTCAGTGTTCCCACCTTCAAAAAAGGCTTGGTGAGATGAGAAATCCCAGGGGATGAGAGTGAATGGGGCTGAGTGAGTGGTGGCTCTCCTGATCTGTAGGACCTGGTGGTTCTGGGCTTGGTTTTGGGCCAGGGGGAGGGCCTGAACCTTGGGGCTCAGATGTGGTAACTAGACCCCCATGGAAGACTCAGCCCTCCTCATTCCTCAGCAGGTCCCAGTGACTGCCCTGAGATGCCTCTTCCTCTGATCCCAGGAGAGCGCCAGGCGGGTGATGGCACATCCCTCCCTGAGACCCCCAACCCCAAGATGGTGAGACCTTCTCTCTGCCCTCCAGGTGGGATCAATGGAGGAGAGGGTGGGTGGCCCATGACTGCTGTGGCTGCTTCAGGCTGGGGCAGACTCTTCCCTGTCAGATCACCCAGGCCTGCCTCTGTAACTATGTGAGGGAAGTGGGAATAGACTGGACTCACTCCTGCCTCCCCCCAGATGTCGGCTGTCTATGCGGAGCTTGAGTCACGACTGAGCAGCAGCTTCAAAGGGAAGATAGGGACCATGTCCAAATCCCGGGCTTCTCCCCCAGGCCCCAGCCCGGCAGGCACTTCAGGTAGGAGCTCAGCTGGTCCCAGGTTCTGAGGGCAGAACTGGACTCTGTCTTTCCAGCTGTCTGTCTGGGTGCTGTACCCACTCCAGGGCCCACCCCAGAACTTCTCTGTTCTATGGCTGTATGACTAGATTCCTTATGTGAGGAACCCCACAGGCCTCCATGAGTGGGTAGTGACCTAGTGGCCATCAAGGCCGGCATTGCACCAGCCCCTTCCACACCCTCCGTGATCCTCACCCCAGCTGTGGATCTAGAAAAAATGACTATTCCCCGGGAAGTCCCCGAGTTAGCATGACTTGGACAAACCATTAAATGTACGCATTGCTTCATAAACAGTACAACTGGGAAGACAGTTTCTCCTGAGTTCAGAAAGCAGACCCCTGGGAGATGCTCCAGAAGCCCAGGGCTGGCTGGATATGGGAGGTGCCTCATGGACCTAGGTCTGGGGTCTAGGAAGGTCCCCTCAGCCCATTGAGTTGTGTTGAGTGGGCCTTCAGTGGGATCTCTAGTGTCCATTCTCAGAAGAACAGGGGTCTGGCTTGTCCGGGGCAAGATGTGCTTTTCCTAACCAACTCTAGCCTTTGGTTGCCCTCAGGGAGGGGCCTAAGAGGCAGGATCACCCAGGGCCTTCCTACGCTGTCTAG